ATGATCACCATTACCTGGACCACAATCATGCCTCTCGAAAGAAAGGCTCTTTATCATAGACAAGCTACAAGTCACCTGGCTTTACAAAGTAGCCTGAAATTATTAAAAAATAGTGCTTACCCCTCCCATCATCCCCGCCACCATCACCCCATGATCAAGCTATAGGATCTCTATAGGAAGGTGATGAGCCTTTTCTAACTTCCACGTATACAGATCAACTACCTGACAGGTAAGGCCTGTGATGGCCAAATGAAGTCCTTGTGACAAGGCCTGGCTTCTGGTAGCCACTGAAGGTTTGTGTACTGAAGGTATTGTTCCCACTCACACCTCTCGGTTTATTTCAGAGATAGTTTGGAAGCGGTTTATAAACTGGGAGGAGCTATGTAAACACACAGTGGCGCTATGTAAAGTTGGTCCACTTACAAGGTCTGTCTTTCCCTGTTTTTAAAAATGGGGGAAAACCTGGTTTCTGCTTCTGAAAACCTGTCAGCTCCTATCATAAGAAGTATCTTGACTGTTTCCAGCTTTTTTACAAAACTCTGGAATGTTGGCCTCTGGTCTTCTAGAACTGTCGTGTATGAAACATGTGGTTCCTTTGTCCCTAACAAAGGGAAGAGAACATATACAAACCAACCAGAGCAGCATGTGTAAGTGTGTCAGAACCGTGGGACAGACTCTCCCACACCTCGGGAACTTCACCTATGAATGACTTCACAAAATGAAGGTTTGCATTTTTTAGGGGCTACTAAAACATGGATACTCGATTTCAAAAGAATTTTCTTCTTTATTGAATTTAAATGCATTTGGCTATGGGAAGGCAGGGAGACTAAAGGGTGTCCCAAAGAAGCCTTTATCTAATACTTTTTTTGGAAGAGAGATGCTAAAGGAAACAATGATTAGGCAAGAGATAAGGCAGTGTGTTAGTAGAGAGCTGGAGACTTGGGTTCTGGCCTTTCCTCTTCTACTGAATGGGCAGCTTTTCCTACTTCACCTTTTGTGGCCTCAAGTTACCCTCAAGAATAAACGAATGCTGTTGAATCAGGTGATGCCTCTTACCACACGCCCACACTCATCTCCACATGGGTTGTCTAGCTGTGATGCCCTAAGGCTTTGATTTATGTTTACATAAGGGAAAAGTGGGTGAATGAGTGGCAATAGCTCTCGCTGTTACCAAAGCACTGTCGTGGGATTTAGCCTGCCTGCTGACCTTGCGTAACACCTCTTTTCTAGACAACGTAGTGAGTGCCACTCTGTGTCAAGTTGTCCTCCCAACTGTAGTGTCCAGACTGCCCCAAATATAGTCCCTTTTAACATTTCAGTAGTTGAACCCGCTGCAGGTAGGGAGGCTGCTTGGAGCAGCGGTGCTCCTGGTGTGGTCCCCAGACCAGCAGCATTCACATCACCTGGAATTGTTAGAAATGCAGATTCTCAGGCTCTAGCCCAGGCCTACTGAACCAGAAACTCTGGTACCTGCCCAGCGGTGTATGTTGTAACAAGCTCTCTAGGGGATCGCAATGCTTCCTAAACTTTGGGAACCACTGACGTGGAGCATCAGGGCATCAGAAGGTGTTCAGTAGGTTGTGACTCAACACAGTTTGGCATTAGAGCAATCAAGTAAGACTCATGCTCCCAGTTGCCACTGAACTGTATCTTCTTTAGCCACTTTTTAGAAGGCTTTTTCTTTCAGGCTTTAAGGCAGGACTAAGGCCCTGTGGCAAAAAATGACCTTAATGGGTTAATGCACCAAAGACCTGGAGGAAAATCTGGCCTAACAAGACCTCCGTGTTAATGTGGTAGCCACTCGTCCATAGGAGAGTCAGCAGG